CTGATTGTAATTCCCTTTGAAACCTTTTAAATCTAAAGCTGCAATTTAACTCACTTCCCTATATACACATTTTGAGTTGCATGAGAATGTAGCTCTCTGTATTCGTATTACGCCGGTCATATGGTTTCGTCATTCTTGCCATCTTTTACTGTTTTGCTTTAATTAAATTGTAAAAGTCCGCTTGGGTTCAGGATTTATGCCACAGTCCTCCTTCCTAGCGCTCGGTTTGCAGTCCCGACCTATCAAGACAAGAGGAGAGGATAAGAAGAAAGACAATGGAAGAAACTGTCGCCAGCAGAGTGTCTTGCCGCTATTGCGCTGACGTCCGCAAGAGGATTTGCCGACGTTAAGTACACATCTAATGCTCCTACAATAGTGTTTTAAATTATATTTCGAAAAGGCTTTTGAAACTAAAAGAGAGGAGCCTGGTCAAGTCGACATCATTGACGTAAGACATGTCGCCCGGCGCCTTCCATGCTAAGCTGCTATACTGTGCTGCATCATACGAAACTTCGGAAGAATGTTAATACACGAGTTGGTGAGCTAATGCTTAGCGAGTCTTTTAATGCTAGTGCATAAATGTGAGTTGTCTTTTTGATTGCATTGTGCTTGCCTATAATGTGGAGGACAATGCGAATTACAACAGCACACACATTTGTAAATAATGATATGAAACATCTTAACTTTGAAATGCAATCACGCGTAATCTAGACGTTTTAAATGGTCGCTTAATGCTCACTAGAAAGGAATAATCTTTAACAGTCGTCCTTTCAGTAACAATTGCCTTTGGTTACGATACAACAAATTATAGGCTATAATTGCGTTTGCCGAACTGAAAAGATTTTTTGTGACGAATTTATAAAAGCCTGAAAAGGCGTCAATGGACCAAGATCTAGATTATAGTTAGTTCATGCAGAATCCAAAACTAGTTTGAAAAATTCTATTGTTTTGATCAGTTTCAATGCTGGAATTGAGCACAGTCTTATTCTTGCATAAACGCTCGTGCTACTTACACTAGAATCACTCATCAACTCCTTCCAATTATTGTAAGTTCAAATTAAGAATGGTGTCTACAGCCTCATCGTGGCGCGGAGGTGACTCTGGGTATCGAACTGCGAAGTACAGAGGAGGTTTGTCCTCCAACAGAGTAAGCTGAAAAGGAGTTCAACGTTTCCGGTTCCCCGGATGCCCAGCTAAGAGTAGGCCATGCCAGAAACACCACCGTCTGGCTGATTCAATCGCTAGGTGGCTCCCCGTTCCATAAGGTCAGCGATTGCTTGTGGTAAAGCAGGGCTCTGCCAAGGAAAGTATTGAGGCATGATGGTGTGCCACTGAGTGATGGCACACCCATCATTCGTAGTGAAAAGTTCCCATCACTGAGCAAGGCGTTGGATTTGTCGTACATCCATCTGTTGTCCATCTTGTCGATTCGCATGAGGTCCTATCACTTCGCCTGGCTATCCTTCGATTTTGTCCTTTGCAGAAAGCCATCACAATCATCTGCTATTCTCCAACATCAGCAGCTGGTGATTCGGAACTTGATGCTTTTTATGAGGATTTGGAGGAAGTCATCCGCAATGAAAACTTCTTCTATTAGTTCGTCGTGGATGACTTCAATGCAAAAATCGGGATGCCACAAGAAGGGTAGCACAGCATCGGGAGATTTGGATCATGACTCAGAATGGTAACCATCTTGTCCGCCGAACGACTTTTTCATGGCAGCTCCATTTTCATAAAGAGGGAAGACCGACGGTGGACATGGGAGTCACCCAACGGTACGATTCATGCGGAGATTGACCACAGTCTCACTAACCGCAGGCGGTGCTTACTGGACCTCGTGGTACATTCTTCAGTAGTGGCTCAGATCACCGCTTCTTTCGAGTAGAAGTGCGATTCAGTCGAAAGCCGGAGAAGATCTGCCACCATGTTGGAGGAAGGAGAAGTGGTACATGGCGGCGTCAGCTTGGAGGAGCTCCTGACTACTTGTGACTGACCCATCGAGGAGGACCGAAAGACTACGATCTGCTTCTAAACGGACTGAGAGCCTGTGGTGAGAGTGCCTCAATGCTTCGCACAAGGAACTTGGAACGAATTTCGAAAGCCACCAAGGATCTGTTGGAGAGGAGAAGAGCACCGAGGTTGGATCCGACTGCAACACATCTCGAGCGACTGGTAGCCACTACCAGTCGCAGAACAGCTTTGCAAAAAATCTTCCGATGTACAGGCAATCAAAACTTGGGAGCAGCACAAGGAAGGAGAAGTTTAAAGAAGTACCGCAGGGACATTCTCGACCATCGTGTTCCGCTGACAACATTACTAAACGAAGACGGGACTCGCACATTTTCCCGACAAAAAATGGAATCGATCACGAAGAGATTCTACGTTTATTATGTTATCTTGATAAGGTAGAGTTCTTAGGATGAAATATTTTGAATGTTATCTCTTTCGCTCGTCAACACCGGTGTCAAACCCTTTATTCCCACTGGAGAAATACCACCGAGGATTCTACCTGTCGAAGTACGCGCCGCAATCCAGACCATGGAGGCAGCCACGG